CCTCCCATTCACTGTGTGCAAGTTTGTCCCCTAGTAATGGCAGTGAAACAAAATTGGGTTAGTGTTAAGTAGGAGTCAGTGATAGACTCACATTCACAAGAGCAAGAAAACACGGAGTTAGAGCTCAAACCATTCTGCCCTGTTATAATGTAATGTGATGTAATGTAACTCATGAAGGGCAAGATTGACCAAGTCTAGGCACAGATATACAGCATGGGAGATGGTGGGAGAGACAGTTTCCTCCCCTGCTTGCACTCCTGAAAGGGACTGGAACAATCTGCATTCACGCAATCAAAGACAGTGCAAAGCTGGTACCAGCCTATCCAAAAGAAGTGCGGAAGGAGCAGGGCAAGCAAGCAGGCTTAGGCCCCATTTCTGAGCCCCAGGTCCTAGAGCAGGCTGTAGCAGTGGTTGCACTCTGCAGCAGAGCTCCAGGAATGTGACTGTGTGCTTGTCTACATGCGGTTGCTACATCAGATTAGTTTGTTTGCTCTAAGTGCAGTGAATTAACTGTATCGAACTGAAGTATGTCTACACCACTTTGTTATGCTGGATTAAAGTACTTTCCTCGTTACGCATTGTGTAGTCTAAATTACTTTTTCTATATCTGCCACTACAGGAAACATGCCTGCCATGCAACATGTTTGAATTTTAAACTCTCTGGTGCTGACATCTTGAGCAAATGGGGGGAAGAGGAAGAACAAGCTTTGGAAAGAGGGTTTGGAGGCAGCAACTGTGGCTGATGGTTGTGGGATTTGATACTGCAGGGAAAGAAAACTTCATAGCTTTACATCTCTAGCACAAACAGTGTTTTGAGTACACTGGAGGACGGGGAAGGGGGTTAAAAGCCGAGCAGGCAGAGAGGATCCTAGCTCCACTCAACATGGCAGCAGACAGTGGATACCCAGAAAAAAGTGATTTAACTCCCCCCCCCCCCCATACGGTTGTATGTAATACAGAACGTAATACTGGTACACCTCTGCGGTATTTTCAGGCTGGCGGCTAGTAGAGATAACCTCCACTGCAGTTTCAGTATGGTTGTCCGCATGGGGTTCTTGTATAATCTCTGAATTGGGTGGGTCATACGGTTCTTGTGTGGTCCCCATGGTATATGGGCCAAGTTTGCCTTCCATATGGGTCAAGGGGACTCGCTGGAAAACTGTCACTTGCAAAAATGCAGTCCAGTTCCTCATAGTTTGGGCCAGTAGTGGGATCATTACTGGAGGTCCTGTTCTCCCTTGTCTTCAGGTATTTCTGTCAGAGCTCCTTTGCTTTGACTCTGCCCAAGCATGGCTCAGCAAGTGATCCTCATCTTCATTTGATCTGACAGGGTTTTGTAGATGTCTGCATTGCTGTGACTCTTCTTGAGATGAGATTGGATGTGCAGCTCTCCAAAGAGGGCAGTCAAGTCCAGGAGCTCTGCACAGGTCCATGCAGAAGAAAAGCAGGCATGTCTACTCTAATGGCTATGTGATTCCAGGTGTGTGAACTTGCGACTATGGTTGACTGACTGCCAACACTTTATCAGAAATGTGACAAGAGAGCCCTGGAGCAGCTGAGACCACACAAGTACAGACAGGCTGATGCAGATGTGAAACAGTGCAGTGTGGGATAGCTGTAAGAGGACTGCCAGCAGCAGAGTAGTTAGGAATGGGTTCATACAAACTCTAAAGTGAACAAACTCCCTGCAAAGTTTCTGTTCCAAGGAAGATTACTGACTGTGACCTAAGACACCAAACAACTGGCTTTAAAAAAAGGTTGAGTGCATGCAAGTTACTTTAAGCTGAACAACCTGAAGTTACCCCGATGTAACATCCGTGTGTAGAAAAGCCCTTAGTGTGTCTAGTCATATGACCCTTCCACTATGGGCATGTGAAGCATAGCATAACATTAAGTAAAATGATGCAGCGTAAAGTCTCTGTAATACTTGGACATACTAGGGTGTGTTGTAGATGCTACATAACCTTCAACACTCGATGCTAGAGTAGGACTTTCTTGGCACCTGATTGACAGTGACCGCTGTTAAGTGTGGGAATTTCATAGCAGAAAGGACGATTGGGAGCAGTGTTTGATACTTGCCCAGTGCACAATCTTGGCATTAACTCAGAATTTCACTATCTAAATCAGGCTCTCCATGAGTAGGGAGCTTTCCTTTCACTTCCCCTTTGTCATACCCTCCTAGTTCAACCAAAAAATTCAGCAGAGAATCTTATTGAAAAACCCTATTGTTTTTAATTATTTCCTGCATCTTCTCTCAAAACTTAAAAGAGCAGCCCTTCAAACACAACTTTAGAAATCCCTTATGATAAGAATGGGAGGCCTTAACTTGGCAATCAGCCTTCAGTATACATGACTGTGAACACTGATTGACTAAAGCCATATTCTTCTTTGGATTTGGAGCCTTTTTGGTTACATTACAGCCATATACCAAGTCCAAGGGCATGCACACCTGGGACTGTATCACAAACATGTAAATCCTACCATGTAGCATAGGGATAAGTGGGGGAAAAGGCAATAACAGTATTCCATTTTCTGCCCTTTTTATTGCTTTTATTTAAGTCAATGCTCAGCTTTTGCGTCGTAGCTAAAGCCGTTAGTCTTATCAATCTCCCTTCTCTCCTGCCTACTGTGTTTTGCAGGCATTTGGCCTTCTTTACAGCTTAAATGTTATTCACAATAAACATTTTTCTTAGTACATTTTAATGATACAACATCCAAGCCATAGTTGTATCATTGCTGAGCTTTAAAGATAAACTTTAGTTACAAAGCCCAACTGGGACCGTTTCGGTGCTCTCAATTCAGTTTCTTAATAGTACTTTAACCTTAAAGATACATCAGCTGGACTTGGGGGAGGAGAGGACAGAGGTAATGGGGAAAAGGCAGGGCAGTTGTAAACTACCACTTAGAAGAGCAGCATACAGAAAACCCAAAATGATCATTTATTCACAATAGGGGGAAAAGCAGTTTATAAACTTGTTGATGGTATTTGCTCTTATCCTGCTATTGTGAGGTGTGGGATCTGCTGCCTAAACCAGGGCATTAGAAATACGTACATAATAATTTATAGAGTGCCAGGATATATATTCCATAAACAACTGCCCCTCCCATCCCAACCACACCACTTAATTTTAAATTATGCAGCCATATTCAGCCACCACTGGTACACTTCACAGGCAGCTGAAGTCACCCTTCACGCTAATATGCTCAGGGCCTGATTCTCCTCCGACTAAGTCAACTCCATTGATTTAGCTAGTTATTCCTGATTTACACCAGTGAAAGGCCCTATCCACACTAGGGATTTGTCCTTATGCCAGCCAGCTGTGTAGCAATTTGAACCAGTAACGCTTGCCCCTGCTTGAAACCAGGGGGCGCTCCACTGGTGCAAACAGTGGCTTCATTGGTCTGCACGAATGCAGCTAGACAGATTGCTGGCTGCCAGTTGCTATCATTGTGGCCACTCTCCTCAGTGACAGTGGAATCAGGACTCTAAGGGGAGCACCAGAAGACCAGGAATGCACACATTCTTGTGTCTGACTCATTTTAAGCATGTTGAGCAAAAAACCTGTTTTGCTATCTACCCTGTCTCTCCTTAGATTAGAATCTAATATAGTTATAGGGGGAAATTTTCACAGGCACAAATGGCTGACTGCCAGTTGTACCTTGGCAAATTACAATGGGGGAGATGTCCAAAGTTTTAGTCATTTTAGAATAGTTACATTGAATTTGCAAATGCATGTTAAAAATGGAACTTACTGGAGTTTTTGGACTTTTTGTTTTGTTAAGCTAATGAACTATGTAGTATTATTCTTCAACTTTCAACTGTGGAGTTTGATCTCACCTCCCCAGTACTGATCGTATAAGCCTAGGCATGAATTCAATGCCTATTAGTTATTATGGCTCGAACAACCACGTTATTAATGATCATTAAAAATGCTTTTGCTTAGTAAGGGATTGTTGTACACAGAGGCCATTTTTCCTATTTATTTTGTGACTATTAATGGTCTTTTTTAATGTTTATACCTAGTGTAAGGAACAGTGTTCGCATAATTCAAGTACTGTAAAATAAAACCAGCTGCATCCATTATACGTGCATTACTGCCAGGAATTGTAAATATGTTTTTGCCTGATAGCCTCTTGACTCAATAATATCCTGCTATCTCTGCTGGGCAGGCAAGTTTTAACCAAAAAAGACAGGTTATGATTTTCATAGTCAGACTGTGTTTCTTTTTAAAGTATGTTATCCAAATTCAAATTTTAAGAAGGTCATTTTAAAAAAGTGTTTGTGATTTTAACAATTGAAAAGTCATCTTCAAAGTGGTGGCAAGAAGGTACAACATGCACTTAAAGCAGAGATATTTCTTTAGGATATACACATAAGCAGACAAACCCTGCCATATCATACCATACAAACAATTTTAATTGTGTAGTTACAGTCAATAACCACTCCTAGTCAGAACATTTCTGCATAAAGAAAATTGTGATACACTTATAAAAACAGCCAGCTGTAACAAAATAACTGGTGTTTTCATAGCAATAAACTCATAAAAAAGAAATACACCTTTATACAGAAAATTTATACAGCTGTAGCTTTAAAATTGATTGTAAACCAAAGGAAGACACATTGCAAACATCAATTATTTTCACATTAATTGCATAAGTTTCTAAGGTGATCTATTAGTTTTATTTACCTAAGCTTATTTGCATGATAGTAAAAATTGCATACAACAATAAGAGTGAAGCTTATAGTATGAATTGCTTGGATAACATAGAGCACTTTTTATAGGCAACTGTGTAAAGCACATTTTCTCTATTTAAAACTTTTAAGACACTTTGTTTTACTGCCCATCAAAATACATTTATAAATAGAAAAAAAAAATCAGTATGATAACAAGAGAAGCAATATTACATTTAACGGAAACTTCCAAAAAAATTAATTACAACATGACGCTGCAGGATCTACAAATAAATAATGAGGACTAAATTGTGTTTCACATTTTCTTTTCATTTTTTTAAAATCATGTAACAATGAGAATGGAAAAAAAATACAGTGACCTTTATTTCCAAAACAAAAACATATCTGAATTACGGCAGTGCCATATAATACAAGGCATTTGTTGGCATATGTTATCTTTAAACTGCATTCCACAGTCTATAGTTCTTTTGTAACATACAATAGAGCAAGAGTAACAAACTCTTTTCTTTTTTTAAATAAACGTGAGTTTCCAAAGACCAAGTGTGGAGTGTTACAGTAATAATTAAAAAAAAAAATTGAGAAACAAATCACAAAAGTTGTAATGCTTGTCTGAAGGCTCCAGAATCAAAATCACTGGTATCATGCTTATTGGGTACACCACAGTGTAGCCAGTGAACACAAATTAATATCAAACAATCCTCAACGCTTCATCTGTAGCTGCAAAGCAGTTTGTAAAACAGAGTAAAACATCTAGTGCAGTCTGCATTATCCTTTTTTTTCAACTTTTGTGCAAGTTTTGGAAGATTCATTGACCAAACAATGAATGAGAGAGGTTTCTGACACAATACAAGATGGAATTTTCATTTCATTATTAAATACCAGTGGCACTGTTGAATGAAAATAATACTTTTTAGATCAGTCTTTCAATTCAGCATTAATCTCTGTGTTCCCTTCTACTGATAATTCTTCTTCTAGTTTCACTGAAAAAAGTGTGTTTGCATTTTTGTCTTGGATGCTATCTTCTAAATCCTTAAGCAACTCTTCCTCCTTGTATTCTGCAACATCCACTTCCAACCCGGAATTGTCCTTCAGCTTCCCATGGTGCTTGAGATAATATCGCTGGTTCTGAAAGAACTTGATAATGGTGTACTTGGGTAGGTCAAGCTGAGCCGAGAGAGTCTGGATTGCTTCTTCATCTGGATATAGGCCTACATCTTGTATGAAACTCTGTAGGATTCCCAGGGCTTCAACAGAAATCTTTGTTCGTGGTCGGGGTTTCTGACGATTTTCATCCTCAGATTCAGCTGGTGATGCCACTGTTGGTTGCCTTGGCGGTAGTCTGGGACCTGGTTGCTGTTGCTGCTGCTGTTGTTGTTGTTGTTGTTGTTGCTGCTGCTGGAAGACAAAGTAAATCATTTGGTAAATGTATTTTTGCTGATTTTTTTATCCTACCCCCAAAATCCAGATATCTAAGTATAATTTGCCAAGCTACAAAGAAAAGGCCCTGGAGATTTGAAAAAAAGACTCACTACTGCCCACATCCAAATGAGTCAGAATTAAAATACAAATTAGTTCCCCTCTCTGCGAATGGGTGTTGGGAGAAGGGGAGGAATATTGGTAAAATACTCAGGTCTTGTCTAGATTAAGGTTTGAAGATATGGTGGTAGCATGTGTTAGGGAACACTTTCTAACTAACATATTTTAAGAGTCAAGTGCAGACCAGGTATGCTAACTTGAACGTGTGTTAAACTGGCCGAGTTAAAGCCTAGAGGTGGGTCTAGGATTTAACATGTTCGAGTCTACACTAGACTTGAAAATGTGTTAGCTAATATATTCTAACATTCTGACATGGCATTTTAAAATCCTAGTCTAGACAACGACAAAAAAAAAATAAAAATAAAAATAAATCAGGAGCTAGGAACTCCTCACTTCTAATTATCACCCTGACGGTACCTTTTTCTGTGACCTTGGGAAGGCCAGTTAACCTGCCTGTGTTCCAATATCCCAATATGCAAACTGGGAATAAACATACATACTTACCTCAACTGAGTTAATATTTATATAGTACTAAGATACAAAATGCTAAATAAGTTGCATTATTATTACTATGAGTGAACATCCAGCATTCTAAAATGTCAAGCAATAAAATGACCTAGGATGCACATCACAGAGGAATAAGATAAAGCAAATCATGATGTAAATAATTAACAAGAGTTTAAAATGAAGGTTTGGAAGCAAGGAATTCAAAGACATTTTAAAAAGGTGATGCACTGAGCCCTAGGGACAGAAATGTTTTTCTCATCACCGGCTGGAGCACAGCACATTATAAGATTATGTTTAAATCAAAAGTGAATTTGTCAGCTACTGGTTTTGTTGAGAATTATGTTCCTTTACAGCACAAAAAGAATTGTTTAGTAAGATTTTTTTTTGGATCAACAAATGTCTTGTCATATGGTGCTATTTAAATAAAGTAACAAGTAATAGTTATTGTTTTAAAAATTGAACAGTAGATATATCTAGATTTTGTCTAATAGAATATTTTAATTGTTCTTATATAATGGTAAATTTAGATACAGATACTATAATTAAGCCCCAGCCCTGCTAATATTTATGCACATCCTTCTCTTGATGTACTGCAAGTAGTCCCATTCTAGACTTAAGTCCCAAATAGATGTATGCCCCTACTTAAAGGGCTTAACTTTATGCATGTGCTTAAATCTTTGCAGGATCAGGGCCTGTGTGTATGCTTTTCAGAGTTAGCACATATATTAATTACACAATTTATGGATCTACAAACAATTACAGTATATAAAATATCACCTACCATACTGTAAATACCAATACAAAATATCCTATCTTGCAACCCTTATTCACACAAGTAGACAGATTGACATAGTATAATGCAACTACTCGTGTGAGTAACGTTTGGAGGATGAAGGACATAATTTTTATCAACAAAGCAAGTCAATCTGAGAAAGCAGCGTAATATTAGAATAAGTGTACCATGCATAAGCTTTTCCTTTTATCCCCCTAAGAAGTAATGTTATTAAAAACAATGTACATTTTCAAACCAATCCTGCTTTACTACTTAATATAGATATTTCTCTCTCTTTTTTTGCTAAATCAAACAGTAAGTTTCCAGGCTTTCACAATTATTTTAGTACTCAATATCCTAAGGGATTGTCTTGTTCAGTTTGTTTTATCTTTAATACACACTCATGTTGTTTCTGGCTGCTGGATAACTCTATTCTTTGTAGATTTGTAAATATTTTTCCATAATGGTAATACGAATGATCCACGAAGCCTCAGTGGAGGTTGGGGACTCTGAAAGCTTTGGGTATTTTCTGCCCTTTGGGGCAGCAGTTAAAGGCTGACCCCAGAGCTTTAACAAAAAGGAATTAAATAGCTTCATCAGTTCAAACGGACACATAATGGAACTATTCTACTACGTTTTGCATGATAGACTCTCTTGCTCAGGAGTTTATGTGCTATCTGGTTCATGTGTAAGGATGCAGTGGAGCAGAGGGAAAACTACCTCCCAGGGTGAATATTGAGGCCTACCATGGCTAGTTCAGTGAGCGTATCTTTTCTAAGTATATAAATATGCTGTTTCTCTGTTATCTGGGAGTGGGTCCTGAAACCCCCTCCCTGACACATTTAACTTGTGCCAGCTCACCTGAGGAGCAGCACCCAGCCAAGGTCCAGTGGTCAGCAGGCCTGGTAAGAAAGCGCCTCTATGCTCTCCTTTCACAAGGGTGGTGGGAGAGGGGCTCTAAAGGAAAAACAAACAAACATTGACTCATCCCAACTTTCAACTGGGAGTAAATGGGATGAGGAATTAGGTCTGGTCCCCCTGTTGACCTGAATTTGATGGGTTAGTTTTTATGGCTCGCCACTGATCACATCCGACCAGAAGATTTATAGGTTCTTGTCCAATTCAGACTACAGAGTTCAAGAACTCAGAGAGTTCTATATCGGGAGAGGACTCTTGGGGTGCTCGGCAAGAATGCGTACACTGAGGACAATACCAAATTGATAAAATCTTTATTGACATTAACATAAAAATAAGAAATGCAATGAAACTTATAACTACAAAACAGTAAAAGAATTCCAAAACTCCTGGTAGTAACATTTCTATTATAAGTACCTTAACCTAACATACTCACACCCTTCCTTGAGAACCTGGTAATAGGAGGTGAAGGACCAGCCTCACTCCTGGCATGCCCGATTACGCGATGGTGCTGCCTTCCCCAATGGTTAGGAATGTTGAGTAGTTATACTATACTTCACAAGCTGAGCTGATAGCATGATAGAAGATAGAATAGATAGATAGATGAAAAGATCTAAGAAGTAGAACTTAGTTTAAGAGCTCTAAGAGCCTAAGACCAAGAAGTCTAAGAAGAAGTTAAGAAGAAGAAAAGAACTAACTCCAAAGCAGCTACAAGAAGAAGGTTTAAGAAAAGAACTCACCAACTAATTAACAACTCTCTTACAGGGTATTTTAGAGGATCCTGACCTATGTAATTCAGGCCCAACCTACTCTACCCAAATCTTGTTTCCGTACCCTAAGAAATGTATGGGTACCCTTCTCCTATAGGTTAGTGGATGACATTGCTAAATATATTAATAAAGGATCTCACTCCAAAACTGCCAGCCTAGGCTCTTTTGATGACCTCGAGTTGTGGTGTACCCTGCGGTTACCAACCAGTTGTAGAAGCCGGATAAACCTGTGATGTGATGTGGATAGTTCCTCCCTTTGGTTCCCCAAAGTTCAGGGACCATTCTTATCTGTGCCAAAGGTTGCCAGCTTTTATGCTGACATATTTATAACTAATTCTACTTTTTGCTATATAACAAGATCTTACTGGATCTTACAGGCCGGTAGGCTTCTTGCATTTCAGAAAAACTTCTTATTAGGAAACATATGCCTCAACACATCCTAAATCCCAAGGAATTAATACTAATAAAATATAAGAATAAAATGGATTAATTTCAGAAAAAGAAACATATTAATTAATACTGCTGGCTGGATTAGTAGGATATAATAGCTAGCAAAATAACCCTATGGGCTACACCCCTCCCTCCATTTCTGCTTGAAGTGAACCATTGCTGTTGAGGATTTGAGTCTACGGTACCTGGATTTTAAAAGACACCACTTAAAAATATGCATAACCTACAAAGTGGAAGGAACGCAAGTATCAGAACTGAACAGAGAGTAATGCCATCTTTCTAATTTTGACCTCTAACAAACTACTTGAACCTACCTATGGACATCTAAGATAAGTAATCAATTATTCCTTCTCCAATCAGATACATTTGACCCATCTGGTCTATGTAAGTTTAAAACAATGAAGTGTATATGTGTTCACACTCTCCTTTTAATTGTGAAAGAAGATAGCAGTTCACTGTTATCTCTTTGTAAGAAGCCTCTGTTTAATCTGGCAGGAAGAAAAGAAACACTAATTTCCTTTGCTGCATTTAAAGCTTTATTTACTTAATGCTATATTGGATTGGCCAAGGTAAACTAACCTGAATCTGCTCTGCTGGAACATGGATAATGTGGGAAGGTCTGTCACCATGGTGATGAACTGCATTGCTTTCTTGTTCATAAATGGCATCTCGTTCAGGCTGAGGAAGACTGAGGAACCTTCGGATCATTGAAAGATTCTCCCATAGGGTCCTGTTTTCTGGTGAGGGATCTTCCTTCCAACGTAACAGTTCACAGAGCCACCCCTTGAAGATAACATCAAAGTATTAGTATTCCTCATTTAATAAGGGATAGATTCTGCTCTCATTTACACTTCCTTTGGAGTGATTGGGGGTTCTACAGGGACAAACGAGGGCTGAATTTGTACTTTAACGTTGCCTCATTTCCCTCCCCCCCCCACTACTTTTGTCAGAAATTACTTTCATTTTAAATTCCGGAGGCCTCTCCTGAAATCTAAAGTAAATACTAAATGTGTCAAGAATCTGTTGTGTTATTTTACAAACCCATCACAAAATGGAAACTTTTTGCATAGCATGTTTTCAGTAGTTTCACACAGTTACTATATATTAACAAACAAACAAATTGATCAAGGCAGCATCCCTCACATACTCCAAATATATAGTTAGTGTTCTGTTTCATCTAACTCCAGCACGTTCTTTCTTCTGTTTATTTTCTTTTATGTAAGCCAATATCCATCTTAGGGTATTAAGAATGTATTTCAGTAGCTGGTAGATGAGGTCTTCTGGCTGCTGCTGCAGCTTCTTCTCCCCCCCCCCCCTTTTCCTTTCTGAATTCTAGTATGCTAATTTTTCTTATTCAGAGTAAAACTACTTCAAAAATATGTCTTGTCTGTAGATCTGCCTAATGTAAATCATTATGATAAAGGAGTTCCATAATGTCCTTTTAAAAGAAAGGAATCCTTTGAGTAGACATTGTGAAGTTATATCTTCTTCCTCATTACTATGTACAGAGGTGAACTTACCCCACATGATAACTTTATCTATTTCAGACCCTTTCCCTTTAAAATAGACTTTAAAATCAGACACACAAGTTTACGTTGATATTGTGGATTTAAAAGGGGATATGTTCATAGGTATGCACAGGAACATGCCCTTTACACCATTTCCAGATTATAGCAAATTAGCTAAGAATGCACGCACTCCAACTCAGACATGTTCTAGGCAAACAGACTAAATGTATGTCAAAAGACTGTCCCATGAGAAATGTAGCAATTGCTAATTTGCTTCAAAAACAGACAGAGTTTTATCTTGAAGATTTAGCAACTGGTTTCTTATGTTACCTTAAAATTAAATCTGGGGTACTTTCTGCCTTTGTATTTGATGTTTGAAAGGAATAGCGCAGACACAAATGGGCTACTATAATGTGCAGCAACTCTGCATTTCTTTGCAAAACATGAAAACAATTACAAAGACATAAAACATTACAAGTACATAACATTCACAATTCTTTTTTAGCTCATGGATTTTTTTTTAAACTAGCTCTATACAATTTTATTTCTTAATGCCATAAGTAAGATAAAGTGATATTTTATTGGACCAACAAATAATACATTCAGAAGCCTTTAGACCCCTTCTTCATGTACTCATGGTTTATCCAGACCAGTTTACTATATTTTCTGTAGATACACTAACAATGGAGATTTAAGTGTTCTTGGTGCCATACATACTTTGTCCAGAAGTTAATTTCAAAGTGTAGTTTTAAAAAACCATTAAAGAAGAGAAAACAGTAGAAGTAAGTAATTTATTTAATCCTGTGTTATTTGGAGAGCTGAAAATTTAAAATATATGGTCATGTTCACAGGTGGCAGATTAAACAATGGATATGGAGGAAAGCGTATGGAAATAATGAAAGATAAATGCTTTAAATGAATATTGGGGTAGCACAGTTGAGAAACCCAAAACTTAAACAGGGCCAAACCCAGATTTGTGCTGAACAGGTACACTGGGTAGAGAACACAATGTATTAGAAAACTGTCTTTTGTGGAAAAAATAGGATAGAAAGCCCTTATTGCTCAAAAGAGTGCTAGTGAGAGAGAATGGCTACTGTGGTCTCCAGTGCAACATAGGCTAAGAGGTCTAGTCTAGGAATCTGATTAGGAAATGTAGCCAGCTCCTTAGCACATATGCCATGATGTCTAGCACATGCTAGATGAGGTTGAACGCATTTCCTTTTTAAAGCAGCAGCAAAGTGCACCTAGCTGTGGATTTCTCCTGCCTGCCTTAAGGCATCGTGCTGTATGTGGGTAGGTTAGTGCATGGACCACACATGCACTTCAGCATCATGCTGCTCCTTCCAGTTTTCTGTGTATTCCATAGGCAGAGGGACAGTATTCTGCCTTTTTTTTTAATTGTACAGCACCAGTTAAATTGATGGATAATGTAGGTTTTTGTTTAAAAAATGTCAAAACCCAATATTAATAAAAAATACGGTTGTGGAATTTTTAATTAAAAACAAAGAAAATTGTCTTTCAAATGTTTGCAGTCTGCTGTGCTCCCCACTCGAAATGTGTGGCATTGTGCTAGTGCTCCTGAAGCAGAAAATGAAACGGACAAGTCTATTTATATCATAGGAAGTGAAAAAGAAAACTAAACAACCTGCAGTTATCTAAGGTATAAGTAACACAAGCAAGGACTTTTGTTTTTTAGCCTGACACTGTCCATTAGAACTTGGGCATATGTGGTGAACATGTGGACCACAGATGTTCTTTAGAAAAGATTCATCACAATTATGCTGGCTTAACAAATATTTCAGAAAGAGCGCTTTGATTCACTTAACAAAATATTTTTTCTCATATTGTCACTTCAGTTTTTCTATACATACTAGATTGATCCTTGTTTTTATTAATTGCCCATGACTAACACAACATTTCCAGTAGTTTGCTATTAACCTTTGCCCTGAAATAATACTTCTAATTCCTTATCTAAAAATAATTTGATGAATTGTAAGTTGAAGCGTCTCCTTAGCTTTCCAAGGAAATGCAGTGATTTTAAGAGACTGAAATCAGATGCTTCTCACAAACTATTTAAACCTGCAGCCATAGACTGCTATTCTAACAAAAGTGTCTATTTTTCCATGTTATTCTTCAAGTATTTTAAAAGGAGCAGATAGACATTTTGTTGCAACATCTGTGTGGCAATATGGAAATAACCAATTTGTTTCTTCTAAAATTACAAGGTTAAAAAAAATTTACTGGACTAATCTCTACTATGTATTTCTGAATACTTTTATAAAGCCTGATTTTATTAAGGTTTAACTGATGCGAGGGGTGAATGGGCACTAACAGAAGTTGTATGATCTAGCTTCCACAGGGGACCAAAATCACTGTACCAACATCACTTCTTTTAGACTAAAATGTTATTAATATTTTACACATTTCCAGGTTCAGTGTTCTGTACCAGATAAATGCCTCAATCACAAAATTCACCACACTGAGAAAGGATATGTGAAATGATTTTTTGATTTAATTGGGGATTGGTCCTGCTTTGAGCAGGGGATTGGACTAGATGACGTCCTGAGGTCCCTTCCAACCCTGATATTCTATGATTCTATGATTTTTATAATATTTAGAAAAACAATTGGATGGACTTTCAAAACCATGACATCTTTTGTTTTGAATCTGTTTTTACTTGGAGCAAAACATGAACAGATGTAGTTAATGTAGCTTTTAAATTTAGAAATGAAGCAACAGGGCCAAATTCTGCCCTTCTATGATAGTATAAATCTGGAGTAATTCTATTGACTTTAATCAGGTTATTTCTTATTTACACCAGTATAACTGAGGGCAGAATTTAATTCATAGTTTTTTCATGTTTTATGGCTTCTCAAAATTATAGGACTATAAGATAATAGGCAGAAGACTCACTATTCAAATCAGATCACAACTGTTCTTTAGTGCATACAAAGCACAGTGAAGAAGCAGCTTTTAAAAAATTAGGCCAATTCAAAAACAGCAAGCTTAAAAAACTAAAACATCCTTGGGAACAACCTAAACTTTAAACATGTTTGCCAGGCAATATTACACTGAATATAAAGAAGGTATAAGACAAAATATAAACATTTAGCCACATGTAAATACATTTGTAGAACTTTCAGGATGTTACTACTTTTCAAACTGATAAAGTTTAATGTGACACCTTCTGTTCCAAAACCTTTGTTTCTATTCAAAATCACGCCTTTAGCTGCTATCAATCACTATGCTCTCCCTATTACTTAAAATACTAGCATGGGCCCTGGATAAGCTGAAAATGCCATGCAGATGAATTCTGAGATAATATGTTCAAACCTGTTATATACAACACAAATCCTGTAAAGTTATGTATTGTAAACCTACATTTATTGAGAACTAAAAGTCTTAAATCCATCTGCCACAAAGGAAATACTGTTATGCACTTTAGAGTAACCAAGAACCATCTGCAAAGGTCTTGCTACAGTAAGCAAAAAAATTGTTTAAAAAAAAAAAAGATGCTAAACCTAAATATTATTTAAAAAATAAGTCTTCTGACTGGCTTGCTGTTAGGATTTTATTAAAGAAACATAAGACATTAGAAAGCAGAGAAACTGCCAAACTATTGCAGGAAAAAAGGAAAACAAACACAAAGATAACAATGACAAAATGTTATAGTCCACAACACACACCACTGTATGCTTATTTTAAAGAAAAATTCAGCAGTTCTAATCTCAATAGCCCAATGATGTATTTGTCTGAAAATTTTAATTGTACCAAATTTAAATACAAATCCTGACCCGCACTCTTACTCTCATCTCCTACTTTCTAGCAAGACAATTTCTGGTTTCCATAGCACTTTCTTTTTTGAAGAAGTTGATACAAGTCAATTCAATATGGAATAGGTAAGCACCAATTCTTATTAAAATCAAGAAGGATTGCCTTTCTGCAACCAATCAACATTTGCTATGCAAATCCCTCCAGATCTATGGCAGTGCTAGGAGGCTCACCTTGTATTTGACTGTGCCAAACATAACCAGTCTAGAAGGAAAGGAATTCAGTAAAGAGCAACTAAACTTCTTTGTTTGGTAAATCTGTTAATGGTAAAAGGAATAAAATGACAAATACTTCTTACTGTGTTAACTAGCAAGGAATCAAATATGTATTAAAAATATTAGCTCTAATTTGAATTCTAAATGGCAAAACATTTTATATCATGTATGCTAAGATATGAAGAAGGTTCTTTCATATATTACACACAGGAGTATTTTGTTGCAATCTCCGGGGTATATAGTATAAAAATATATGGTATTAGAAGAAATCAGCCTAAATAGGGAGGTATTTGATACAAAACATTTTAGTGGAAAGCATGAATTACATTTCTGCATCCAGTATGAACAAGGATTAAGTACATAATCCATTAAACAGTACTTCTAAACTCAAAAAATTCAGTATTGTAGAATAAACTACAGTAGGCATTTTGAATGAGCACATTTTCAGCAATAACTATAAAGCTAGCAATTTATCATTCAGCAAATAATTTTCTACTTTTAAAAGAATCTGTAAGTGTTACTTATGCTAATGAAGACCGTTTTTAATCTGCCCACAAACATGCTAATAGAGGGCAATTTTTTTTTATTTACAAAGCTGAAGGCACTCAAGTGTAATTTCATATCAATGTTCTATAAACTGGGTAAAATGGGCTCTTAATCGTCTGAGCCACCAAAATCCTTCACCTTTAACACAAAGGCTTAAAGACAGAACAATAGATGCAAACTGATGAACTAAACTTCTAAGACTGACTTTCTCCCTTCAAAATCATTCAACTTGCTGTATAAATCTCATCTTTGCTAAAATGGCTTTGTTCATTGCCACTGATACTTCCATTACTTTGGGAGCTATGAAGGCAGAACCCATGTATAGGAAGGAAGGAATACAGGGTGAAAAGCACTATTACCGTGAATGTATGTTTTCCTCAGGCTTTAACTTGTGAGCTCTTCATTGTGCAAGAAGGTTGCTTTTGGAAAAAGAAGTCATAATACTTTGAACAACGAGATACATAATGGTGGCAAAGGAGTACTGAAAGCATTTTAAATTATTTACTAGGTTAAAAGGGTGAAATGGTACTTTAAATACATCAAATTTCATCATCTGGGCCATTTTTTGGTGGCAAAGTGGTATTGATCTTTCCAAATGCTTAAAATTAACTATTTCCAGAAGGTCATTATTTGATTAAAGACATTAAAGTTGAGGGCAAGAAATGATGCACTTTGTCTTCTTTCCCATTCAAATAATCATGTAATTTAATCAGAACTATCCCTTCATGTCCTGTAATAAAAATGTTTGTCTTAAGATATTGTTCTTTACCTAACATATTAACCTTTAAATGTTATGAAGTTCTTAAGAATAATCTTTGCTAGAGAAGATTCTTCCATAATGTAATGAGAGAATCCCCAGCATTTAAATTGATAAGGATAAATTTCCTCTGTACATTGATTAGAAAATGCATTAAACCCTTCAACTGTGATTTCACAGTGTTCAACAGAACCTAGAAATTCAGAGTTCTGAATAGCCAAATTTGTACACACAGTATTTTGAAGCAAAAATGTGCCAACTATTAAATATATTGCTCCAATGTTAATAAACATAGTAAAATGGAATTATAAACTGTAGGTAAAGTTATCTAAAAACATTTCAGTTTGCATTAATTTTGTATTTGAGAAATATGATATTCTATTTTACTAAAGAACAAGTAGTAGTCAAAATGTAAGGTTCATCACAAATTCATTTTTGGGCTGAGACCACTTAAATTTTATTTGTTACTGGGTGAAATCCTATGGGTTTATGCAGGAGGTCACATTAGATGATCACACATGTTCCCTTATGGCCTTAAAATGTATGAATCTACTTTTGGAATTTCCTGACATCTGAAAGCCTATTTCCAGATAGAAGCAGGCCTGGCTGTAGTCCTATTGATGGTTTGATTGGAAGGAGAAGTCAGACCCAGTCGTCCCATACCTAGGCTTTTCTCTGGGGTTCAGTATCTAGTTTTACTCCTCGAATAAGAGTGACCTTTCTCTGGCAACTTTGTAGTGAGCAGGAATGGGAAAAAGCTCCTTCTCTTGAGATGGCTAGTTGGCTATGCTGGAGTAAGGAACACATGCTTGTCTTGTCTGTGTTGTCAGATATCACTTTATCGAGCTTCCTCCCACACAAGATTCCATCTAAGAATTTAAGGTTCAGAGGATTTCATTTGAATAATTATCTGCTGACCAAGGTTTAAAGCCTGACCATTGAGTTAGCTGCCCTAGCTTTCATTGCCAGTCTCTTGGAATACATGGATCTACCCACCACTAACACAGTAGGGATGTTTTCTTTACTACTGACTTGAATTCACCCTGTTTTCCACTCCTCCCTAATGTTTCTTTGACAGAGGATTGGGAAATAGTTTTAGTTCTGGATGGGAGATATTTTGTATTTATCCTGCTCATCCTCTCTTTATGGGTGCATCATGTTTCTGGCCATCACCTTCTTCTCTCTAGTTTCAGACATGTTTTTGAGGGGGTCTCAGAAAGGGTTATCATTATCCAAAGCTGATAGTTTCTCTTCTTTGAAGGAGTGAGCTAGAGCTCATGGAAGGAGAATTTGAAGGGATTTTTACTTTTGCCCTTTGGGGGACGGTAGGTGTCCCCATCAGAGGACAGGTCACTTTTCTTGCATTTTGGGGGGCTTAGACCAGGAGCTGGGGGCAGACGGAAGTGCATCTGTGTACTTTTTATTCTCCAAACTAAATTGAGAGGAAGTGCAGCTGAAATTCAAGAAACTGGGATGGCACACTGGAATTTCTATCTATAGAGATGATTTGTACTAAAGGAAAGGGGGACTTTTGGACCTAGCCTTGGAGACTCCTACTTGGTGAAGATGTTAATGTTTGCATTCTTGAGAGCGGAAGAAAACAGACCTTCCCTGGTGGAGGTATCTCTGGAGAAGTCCTAGCTAGGGTAGGGGGATAGAGAAGCCACAATAAGCTGTAAGCACTGCAAACCTCTTCCCTTGGCAAAGTGGAAGTCCATGAGCTGCAAGCCATCATGACAGAGCTCCACCCCCCTTTGTCTCCTTAGAAGGTCTCCTCATAGACACTGCACATCTTGACTTTGGTTTGCTCCATTTGGCCTGCTCTGATAATTGGGGAACTACAAGAGGAGCCTGGCCAGTAGTCCTTGTTTGAAAAATAAAGCCCCTGAAACTTTGGCTCCTAGGAAAAAAGCATAGCAAAGATGATTTTGCTTGCTGTCACCCCCATTCAGCTTTAGAAGACAGACAAGGTGCAAGAGACAGAAAAATCTGCAGTGAGGGCAGAAGGGGTGGGACCAAGTCCTGGAAACTCATGGACAAGCTTAAACTAGTATAGCACTTAAGGAAGTTTAATGTAACCAAAGTACCTCAGTTGGGGAGTGTGGTCAGTATCCAGAAATCCTCTATATGAAAACAGGAAAATGTGGCTGCACAAGTACAGAACTAGTAACACAAAGGGTTCATAGTTTTAAAAAACGGATTAAAACCAGTTTTCTTCCAACTTGGCTTTTTGTTTAAATGTCTCAATGAGATCTAAAAAACAAACCAAGTTTGAAGTTTCTAGGATCTTCAGTATATGAGTTATCCAAATTTGAACTACACCTCTACCCCGATATAACACGACTCGATATAACACGAATTCGGATATAACGAGGTAAAGCAGTGCTCCGGGGGAGGGGGGAGGCTGCGAGGCTGCGTGCTCCGGCAGATCAAAGCAAGTTCAATATAACGTGGTTTCACCTATAATGTGGTAAGATTTTTTGGCTCCCGAGGACAGCGTTATATCGGGGTAGAGGTGTACTATATTTTAGTTATCTATTCGCTCATACTATATATTACTCTGTCTGTACAGTCTCTTCCTTCTTCATACATTTGCAGCACTTGTTCCAGCACTGAATTTTCCAATTAGAACTGTACCCCCAATTTTTTTTTTTTTTTTTGCAATGCAAGCCTGTTGGAAAATGATAGGTTATACCTCATGTTTTAGGCCTTTGTGGAAACAAATACATTTCACCTGTTGTTCAGCATGGTTTACAAAGTTTGTTTATTGTAAAAAAGCATATATATGATCTTGCTGATTGTCTATTTGCATTATGAACCCACTACAGCCACATCCTCCCTAAACTATACTATACTTCTGGGCCACTTTTAATAGTATGTGTGGATAGGAGATGAGAATCCTCTTAGGGAGCATATCATATTGTCCTGGTCCCTTTTACAGGGGGATGCATTGTAAAGGCTGTCAAAGTTCTGTGTGAATTTGAATTGGATTTTTTTTTAGCTCTTATAAGAATAGATGAATAGGCATCAAATGCTTTCCAGAGAAACTAAGGTCTATTACATGAAGGGCAATCGGCTACTTGATTTTTGGAAAATGGAAACAGGCAAAAAGCTTTCATGACCAAAGTTTCCTAATACTGCACTAGCATGGTTTTACCAGTTGGAGCCTTTTTAATGAGTTTATCATTGTCTTTTCAAAGAGTTTATGAAATTGGTTTTTGTGTGTCTGCAAAATTCACCATTTATTCATTTCTGACCAAACAGCACTGCTGTTCTGTCATTCAGTAAATAGAGATTGCTCTTCAGTATATTATATGACCTCTATTGATCTAGCTGAACAAGAACTTCACGCTTCCTCTTGAGGGTAGGCCTTCAATATAGCAGGGATGAGAGGTGTCACCACAAAGACCATTTTACAAATACAATTTTAATAGAGATAACCTGAGGGTTTCTTTCTCTGCTCTTTAGACTTTCTTCAGTCCAAAAGAGGACTAAAGCTGTTTCTATATTGCATAAGCTGACTGATTCCTTTGCATCAGCTATTGGGATTTCCCCAACCCTAAATCAGGAAATTTGAAACTGCTCGTATGAAAGTGTTAATGGCAGCTATGCACATATTTTACAGTTTAACTGAATTGCTAGAACACGGATTGGTTACTTATTCATTATTAACTCCTCAGTTGCACCAATCCACAGTTTTCATGTTTTAGGATTTTTTTTTTAAAAATGATTACGCCGG